TTAATTGGGATTTCAGAACAGTTTGATTCCACCTTGTATCTGTCATCCTCCTAAGGGATACGGTAGTTGTTCTGCACTACTTGTAGTTTTTTAAGGCTAAGAGTATCTACTCTAAGAATTGGTTGTCGTGGTAATTTAGTTATAGTAGAAAAGGAATGGGTGGAATCAGATCTCAGAAGCTTTAAACAGAGCCATTTCGCATGCTCTGTTTGAAATGCTCACACAGAAATTGTCCTAGATTTCCCTTTGTGTAATTCAAGGGGCCCAGGAAAATATAGTTTCAAAAAGAAAATAAAGTAATACATTTGTAAAACTGGCTAATTTTTTTTCTCACAGTGCAATAGCAAATGTGATTTTGTTTGTTCCTCCCAATTACTCTCACAAATTTTGAGAAGCAAGATGGGTTTTTAACTCCTCTATATAAAGTAAAATAGTAAGGAAATCGAGACCTCACAATTGAGGTTGTTAGGATGAATCTGGGACTAGATCTCATTTCTTTTTTTTTTTTGAATTGGAGTCTCACTGTCGCCCAGACTGGAGTGCAGTGGCACGCTCCTGGCCATCGCAGCCTCAACCTGCTAGGCTGGGTGATCCTGCCACCTCAGCCTTTCAAGTAGCTGGAACTACAGCACATGCTACTACACCCGGCTAGTTTTTTATTTATTGTAGACAGGAGGCCTTGCCAAGTTGCCCGGGTGGGTCTCGAACCTGCGGGATCAGCCTATCCTCTTGCCTCGGTCTCACAAAGTGCTGGGATTACAGGCTGAGCCACTGAGCCCGGCCTAGATCTCATATCTTAAGGAAAATATTTCTGTTATAATATTCTGCCATCCAAGTGATCCTTACATGGAGTCTAGTATCAGAACAGAAGACTAAACATTTCAAATATTGACTGTTTCAATGCTTAACGAAGCTACAAGAAAAGTGAAAATTCATGTACTTCCATGCAAAGTAAAAGGAGAAATGATAGTATTACATGATAGAAAAGCAGCTAAGGTCGGGCTTGGTGGCTCAGCCTGTCATCCCAGCACTTTGGGAGGCTGAGGCAAGCGGATTGCTGAGCCCAAGTGTTCGAGACCAGCTCCAGCAACTTAGCAAGCCCTCATCTCTACAATAAGTCAAAACTTAGTTTCGGCTCCTTGGAAGGCTGAGGCAAAGAATTGCCAGGGCCCAGCAGGTCGATGCTGGGGTGGCCATGAGTGTGCCATTGCACTCGAACCTGGGTGACGGGTGAGACTCTGACTCAAAAAAAAAAAACGAAGAAGAAGAAGAAGAAGAAGACCAGCTAAAAGCAAATATACAAGATTTTTCAGTTAAACGTCCACGTGCCCGACAGGTTTTCCAAAATGAACAGGACTTGAGATAAACCAAAGCTCTCATCTTTATTAATTTAACAGAAATAAAGAGGAGTACTAAAAAAAAAAATCGGGATGAATTAGTATTTAGTTAACTCTCTACCCTCACCCCACTATCATTTCTCAAATGGTTGGTCAACATTTCACAAAATTTGAAATTCTTTCTATAATATAACAAGACCCTTCGGGTTTGGTCTTTCTCTACACTTAACTAGAGATTTCAAACTACCACAAACTGTTTCTTTCCCCAAGGATCACAGGGAAGTAATTCATGTAATTAAACTCTATTTTCTACAACTCGGTAACCTTCTACCCCTAACAGGTAGGAAATCACCTACACTCACTTTGAAGAATGCAGGATGTGAGAGGTTTGCCCCAGGTAAGTTTCTCCCCGTCTATCTCCATCTCTACCTCCTGTTGCTGCATTAAAGCTAAATTCTTCTTAAAGACAGTTTGACTTTCCCAATTAGGCCACTGATTTACATTACCTACTACTGAGTGCTAAGAACATCCAGTTTTCTCTTTCAGCTGCTGATTATGGGACCACTATTCTTTCTCTAAATCTCAAGCTTGCGAAAGGAATATCAAAAGTTAAAAACTAATGTTATAACTGGTAGCAAAAATAGAAGGAAATGTCTGGATTAATCTAAGACATATTCAGGCTCTTTGCTAACTATTCCATCACCAATCTCTACTCCAGATGTTTTGTAAACCCTGAAATACAAGGAGGGAATCCCCCCAAAGCTGAATTTATTTATTTTAAAAGTGTGTATGTATTCTTACATATTTAAACCTCAGTCACCCTCAAAGTATTCTCTGTTAATGCAAAAACCGAGGAGACTTTTTTTTCACTGCTCAAAACAGTTTTTGAAGACCTCAGTTTTAATGCCTTTTAGTGCCTCTGCACTTTTTTGGTTTTTTGTGTCACCTCATCCACATTGGCAAAATGATTTCCTCTGAGGACTTTTGTCTTCTGAGAAACAAAGGAAAGTCACTCAAGGTGAGATAGGGAGAATAAGGAAGCTGGGGCACAGGGCTTACACCATTTTTGAACAAAAACTGCTGAACCGTCAGTGCAGTGTGGGCAGGTATGTTGTCATGGTAGAAGAACCAGTCACCTGTTTGCCATCATCGGGACATTTTTTTCCACAAATGATGGCACATCCTTCTCCAAACTTCCAGATAAAAACTTGGGGTGACTGATCCAGAGGAACAAATTCCAAGTGTTCTACAAGGGCCCCGCCCTTCATTTGAAATGTTTACTTGAATTGCGGTAAATAAGAGAGTTATCTAGACTTGCAAAAACACAAACATGTCATTATCTACATAATTTTAACTCCCAAATGAGCAAATTGTGCGAACTGGGAAATGTTTACATAGAATCTACTTAACATCTTCTCATGATAGCTGTTAATTAATAGCTTTTACTGTTAATTTACAGAGCTCTCAAAACTGCTACCCTTCTTTTTTAAAAATATAATAATTGTAACATGATTCTGTCTCGGTCATTTAAAGGACAAATTATGGTGGCTATTACAATGGCTGTTGGTCTAATCTCTTAATGAAACACTGGATTTATTAAGAACTTTCTGTGGGCAAACCACTCTGTTAAAGGTCTCAAACATCTGACTTACTTTGATCTTTCTAGTCATTCAAGATTATCTTTTCATAGGCATTTTCTAACAAATAAAACTGAGGCTTAAAAGTTGTAATAATTAGCCCAAGATCACATCACCAAGAAATTATGTCATTAAGTTTCAATTTCAAGATGTTCACCTCCAGAGCCTGACCTATGCCATTATGCTAAAACAGTTCATCTCACAAAAACTCATGGTGCTAAATCTGAGCATCATATCAAGGAAACTCTATTTCATTTTACCACTTTTCTCTACTGCCTGAGGAAATTGAAAATATTTCATCCTTCAAGTTTAACAAGTCAACAGACTTTTCTGCTGGAGAAAAAAAATGTTCTCAGACCTCTTCTCATAAAATCAGTCAGTCAACAAATATTTATTGAGCACAAACAATATGCAAGGAGCAGCGACTAGGTACCCAGTCTCAAAAAACTTCAAAAGATATTTTCCATAAAGTTCTTAACAAATTTCAGGCATTCAGTCCTTACAATACCCATGCCACTGGCATGATTTACATGTAGGGATACTGAGGTGCATAAGGTTAAGTGAATTGCCCCAAGTCTCATGTGTATAGTGTGTGTCAGGGGCAAATTGAATCTAGTGTACTGATACCTTTCCAGAATTCAGAAATGTCTAAAATACTTTGAGTATTTTCTTGGTCTTTTCAGTGATTTCACAGAACAATTGTGCATACGTGTCTGGTTTATGGATAAGGTGGAAAATCCACAATGAACCTATTCAAGTTAAAAAATATGTGTACCTAGCACTAGATGCTTCTTGTGTGCTTTCCTAAAAGCGAATCACTCATATCTCTACTGTCTGACATGCTTTGTTCTCTTCATTGTTCTGTTAAAACGCCTTAGCCATAGGCAACTAAAAATTCTTTCTTGAGTATGCAATTCAGTTATTCTTGTGTAGCTTTCTACTTCTGAGTAGATAAAACATCAGGTAAGATCAGATTGATACTGAAAACAGTGATTCAAATAGCATCTGTGATTAAGTTATCCTTTCTGATAGTATTTGGAGATTTGGTATTCAGAATCTTTGGAATTTAGAGTCACATTGGGCTTCATATCACTTATGGAATTTTGTACATGCTCCTTTTTTGATTTTCTTTTATTTTTTCAATGTCTAATATCTGTACCCACTGAGAAAAGTTGAAAAATTCCCTAATTGAGAGTCCATAAAAAAAATCTTGGTTGAGAAATGCTACTAATCATCAAATCTTGAAAGAAAACTCTTATTATTACCAACGATAAACAATAATACTAAAATGACAACACTGAGAGTGACTGCCGCTAACACTATAAAATATATGAACACAACATACACACCCAACACAAATGGCAATACAGAAGTTATAACTTGTATTGCTAATATAATTTCCAACTCAAATAATCTATAAAATTGTTGGATTTTCCTCTTTAAAAGTGTCTTTTATAAAGCCGGGCTCGGTGGCTCAGCCTGTCATACCGCACCTTTGGGAGGCTGAGGTGAGTGGATTGCCTGAGCCCGCGGGTTCGAGACCCGCCTGGGCAGCGAGACCTCATCTCTACAATAAATCAAAAATCAGCCGGGCGTGGTAGCATGCGCCTGTAATTCCGGCTACTCGGAAGGCTGAGGTTGAAGGATCACCAGAGCCCAGTGGATAGAGGCTGCGGTGGCCGGGAGTGGCCACTGCACTCCAGTCTGGGCGACGGAGTGAAATTCCAACTCAAAAAAAAAAAAAAAAAAGTGTCTTTTATGTACAACCACCTAATATTTTACTAACAAGGTAGTTTTTGCCTCTTTTAAAAGATAAGCTATGATATCTATTGACCCGATGCAAAACTGTCATGTAATGGAATATCAGAGGTCATTCTAAATTTATATTCTTTTCTTTGGAACTGTAAGCAAAAAGAACATGATGTGAAGACAAGCCTCATCATGCAAAAAGTCTAAAGAAACTTTGTCTCCCATCACTTTTGTGTTTTCTTTTTCTTTTTTTTACGTTTATACCTGTGATACTCACTTATGCCCACAGCTGTAATGAGCTTGATCGCAAGCTCAGGGATTTCACATTGAATAAAAAATGGTTCCAGAATGTAGCGTCCAAATGCCAGAGATATCACAGCTGTAGCTGCAGGGCTAAAAAAAAGAAAATAATAATAATACATATTTTGGTTAACTATAGGAAAAAAATTAAATTAAATTTTCACTAAATTTTTTCTACCTCGAGGTATTGCTATTTAGCATATGGAACCTGCGGAGTATGAAACTTGACAATTTTTGGAACTTCTCACTTGATGAGGTTGCCTTGAGACATTCCAAATGAAATAGTGCCTGTAACATTGGTGGCTAGTTTTCAAACTTCACATATTCCTAGGAGTAAGGTTAGGTTCTAACAACTGTGTCCCAACTTTCCCATATTTGATATTTTTTCCCTCTAAAAATCTGGTTTATTACATAAGATCGTGACAGACTTGGGCCTTATAGGAAATAGCCTTCTTGGCCAGGTGCAGAGTGACTCAAGCCTGTAATTCCAGCGCTTTGGGAGACTGAGTCGAGAGGACTGCCTGTGCCCAGGGGTTTGAGACCAGCTTGGGCAAACTGATGAGACCTTGTCTCTATAATAAATCAAAAAAACAGCCAGGTATGGTAGTGTGCGCCTGTATTTCCAGCTACTTGGAAGGCTGAGGCGGAAGGATCGCTGGAGCCTAGCAGGTCGATGCTGGGGTGGCTGTGAGCATGCCACTGCACTTTAGCCTGGGCGACAGAGTGAGACTCTGACTCAAAAAAAAAAAAAAAATAGCCTTCTTCCTTAAAAAATTAATAAATAAACTTCAGGCACAGTATGAATTTGTAAATTGCGTACAGATCTAATGGGTTAGGGCATAGTCAGGAGAAGGAGCACTAACTCAATATTAAAAAATAGCATTAATAATTGTTCCTTGTAAATATATGCCTAAATACTTAACATTATGTTATTCTTACTTCTATACAGATGAAAACTCAAAGCCAAGTGTTTATTTTTAATTCCATAGAAATATTAAGATGCAAAGTATAAATTCAAAAATAATAGAATTCCTGTAATTTTCTATAATTAAGAACACATTCATGAGATAAGAAAATGAAGTAAGTTTAGGTATATAGCAACATAGGTAATAAACCATTCTGTTTTAATCCATCAAACATTTTTATGAAAAAAAGTTGCACATACTTTTCCATTTTAAATGTATGAGGGGGACCCCAAAATAGAATTTATTTATAAAATATTGTGCATTTATTCTTTCATGTTTAAACTTCAGTCACCTTCAAAGCACTCACGGTGAGATGCAATATACCCATTGAGACTTTTATCCCCTGCTCAAAACAGTTTTTGAACTCATCAATTTTGATGGCTTTTAGTGCTTCCGCCATTTTTTGTTTCACTTCTTCCACATCTGTAACACGTTTCCCCTTGAGGACTTTTTTCATCCGAGGAATCAAAAAAGTCATTCAGGGCAAGATTATGTGACTAGGGAAGGTGAGGCATGGGAGCCATGTCATTTTTGGTCAAACACTGCTGAATGCTCAGCACAGGGTGGGCAGGTGCCTTGTCATGGTGGAAGAACCAGTCAGTCACCTGTGTGTCACAACTCAGTTTGTTTCTTCCACCAACTGTGCTGTGACCATCTCAAAATTTCCAGATAAAAACTTTGGTTGACCGTTTAATGCAGAGGAACAAATTCCAAGTATACTACAAGGTGCCTGCCTTCCAAAAGATAATTCTTTTTGGGGGGAAGGGTCCCCCCACATCTGTATATATAAATACATATTTTCTACACATATGCAAGTCCATGGAATTATGTCATTTTTTATGCCAAACTCCCCTTTCAGCTTCTCTTTCTTTTCGTGGTTTTCCCACATCCATATCTAGACCAAGATTATCAGAAAACCAACCATCAATTAGCATTCCCAAGTTTGGGTTACTGATACCAGACAGCATCATAAATTTCTTGACTTTCTTCTTTCTGAGAGCCTCTCCCTCTCTCCTCCCCTTAATTAAAAAACAACAAAAATCTATTTCTTCTGTTCTCCATCATTGACACAATTCTTGATATGCATTTTAAAGTCTGATCACGTCCTTTTAGTGCTTTCAAAACATGCTCAGAATATGTAGAAATCCTTTCTGTTGCCTTCAGGTTCCATCTGGGCTAAGCTCTCCTTACTTAACTCTTCACTTGGGTTCTTCCAATCTGCCTGGAGACTCTTCAACTCATTATCTTTTATACTTTAGATCATGGCTCAATCTTCCTTTGCCCAGGAAAGTTTCTCCTTCCTCTGACTGGGTCAGAATCCTGGAGTATACTCTTACTGAAACCCATGGCTTTCTTCTCACAGAGCTCATCACAGTAACAATCTTATACTCACATGATTTCTTCATTGATAGCTCTTCCCCCCCCCCTTGACCCTGAGACCCACAAGCACAAGGCTGTCTATCTAAATCACAGTTTTATCTCCAGTGTTTAGAATAGCAACAGTCATACAAAAAGGAATTTAAAAAATGGAATTATCTTTTTGGGTTTTTTTGAGGGCGAACTCCTTGTAATACATTGGGAATTTGTTCCTCCAGATCAAACGATCAACCAAAGTTTTTATCTGGAAGTTTGGAGAAGGTTGTAGCATGATTTGTGGGAAAAACATCCTGAGTTGTGATAAACAAGTAACTCGTTCATCCACCATGACAATGCACCTGTCCACACAGCACTACGTGTTCAGCAGTTTTTGACCAAAAACTGCATGACCTCCATGCTCTACCCCCCCTACTCACCCATCTCTCCCAGAGCGACATTTTTTCTGCTTTTCTGGATGAAAAAAGTCCTTAAAGGAAAATGTGCTAATGTGGAAAAGGTGAAACAAAAATTAGAAGTAAAAAGGCATCCAAATCGAAACACATTCAAAAATAGATTTGAGCAGTGGAAAAAACATCTCGATAGGCGTAATGCATCAAACAGAGAGTACATTGAAAGTGACTGAAGTTTAAACATGTAAGAATAAATACCCAATGTTTTATAAATAAATTCCATGCTTTTTGGGTCCCCTCTCATGTATTAGAAACTCAATTTATATTGAATATATAGTGAATGAGTAAATTCAGTTTAATAAGTCCTGCTATGTTCTGATGGGTGATATTTCTTTCCTTGAAAATTGTGTTTTACAGATTATTTCTGGCAATACTGACTTAATCTGAAGGTATAATTTTAATGAATAGTATTTAGCTACCATGGGTATTGCTAGAAGAGAAAATGTTAACATATTTTGATATCATTTTTTTTTTTTTTTTGAGTTGGAATCTCACTCTGTCACCCAGACTGGAGTGCAGTGGCACGCTCCCCACCACCGCAGCCTCGACCTGCTGGCTCAAGGGATCCTTCTGCCTCAGCCTTCCAAGTCGCTGGAACCACAGGTGCGCAACCACCACGCCTGACTAATTTTTTTGTTTCATTGTAGAGACAAGGTCTTCTCAAGTTGCTAACATGGGTCTCGAACCCGCGGGCTCAGGCAATCCACTCACCTAGGCCTCCCAAAGTGCTGGGATTACAGGCTGAGCCACGGAGCCCAGCCTATGTTTAGATATCTTGTCCTCCTTAAGTCATTTGTTTTTCTGCTTATTTGAAAGACCAACTCAGAAAACATTAGGACAAAGAAATATATGAACACATTCAAAAAGCTTTTATAACACATCTAGATAATTTCCTGTCAAACAAAAAGCTTCTTTGACACATCTAGATAATTTGCTTGCCAACATACAACCACATACACACATACACGTATGTGCACAAACATACACAGACTCTCTCTCTCTCTCTCTCTCTGAAGCAGTTTTCTTGAAATTAAAGCAATATTTGTTTATTCACTACTAGGGAGCAGGAGTGTGGTTCACTGTACTTTAGATCAAGAAGTGGATGAATGAATGAACACTATATCTGTGCTATTGCAAGAGGTGTGGTATGTTCATCACCATGCCAAGTGATGTGTTATACAACTAATACATGGTTGAAGATGGATCCCAGTACAAATCAGTCTCCAAAGCCCACCAGCCTGACAGGCCAGTACTCTAAGTACGTATGTAGTGCCCTCATTTGAGTGTTGAATATGCTGTATTCAAAATATTATAAAGACCGGGCTTGGTGGCTCAGCCTATAATACCAGCATTTTGAGAGGCTTAGGTGAGGGGATTGCCTGAGCCCGCGGGTTCGAGACCAGCCCAGGCAACCTGGTGAAACCTTGTCTCTACAATAATTGAAAAATTAGCCAGGCATGGTAGCGCACACCTGTAGTTCCAGCTACTTGGAAGGCTGAGGTGGAAGGATCGCCGGAGCCCAGGAGGTCGACACTGGGGTGGCCATGAGTGTGCCACTGCACTCCAGCCTGGGCAACAGAGTGAGACTCCCACTCAAAAATATATATATATAATATCCTTAAACTGTCAATCACTTATTCAAAAATAATTTCAATCTACAATATACAAGGCGCTGGCCCAAGTAGTATAAAGGTTATGGAAAGTGAAGACTTCATCTTATGTGCTTGAAATGTTTGCATTTTAAAAGAAATCAAACACAGACACCCAAAATATTAAATAAGAATACAGTGTATCATTTTCAGTGTCAAATGAAAAGCAGAGGCCAGGCACAGTGGTTCATGCCAGTAATCCCAGGGAGACTGAGGCGGGAGGAGGATTGCTTGAGCCTAGGAGTTCAATACCAACCTGCAACACAGCAAGACCCTATCTCTACAAAAACGTCAAAAAATTGGCCAGACGTAGTGGTGCATGCCTATAGTTCCAGCTGAGGCAGAAGTGTAGCCTGCATCTAGGAGGTTGAAGCTATGGTGAGCCATGATCATGACACTGCACTCCAGCCTGAGCAACAGAGTGAGACCCCAACTCAAATTTTTAAAAAAAGAGAAGTAGAGACTGCATTTTTTCCCAGGAGAATTAAGAGATGAAAGAAGTAATATAAATGAGAATAAACAGAAAATTAATTGTGAGAAAGACTGAATTTAAGTTGACCTTTGAAAGTACATTACAATCAGAAAACCAGAAAAAGGAGCAAAAGGTACATTCCAGGTAGATTTTAGAAAAGGAACAAAACACTCTTTTATCATTATTCCATTATACCAATTTAAAATAATGCAGAGCTTGTTTAAAATGAGAACAGACTTAATGAAGCATATACTACTTTAAAGCTCTTTGTTCAAAAAGAGACTCCTAAAACCATAAAATTCAAGATTAGTGTTAAGTCAACACTTATTAGCTCTCCATTTGCCACTTAGTCACAAATGACAGGATAAAAGCTCACATGAGCTCTCAGCTGTGTATGTCTGAAAAGTTTACAATACAAGCAAATTTCCCTGGTTATTTCTATTAAGTCTGTAATCAGAAGTCACATTTACGGAAGCAGTTAGCCTTAAGGGATTGTGAGACCATGAACTGCTCATATGACATCAGAAGTTTCCCACAAAGTTGAAGGAAATTTGCTGTTCAGAATGACTTAGCACGATCTGGTTTGATTTTAAACCAAGACCAAGAGGAAGTTGAGCACATTCTTATGACAATAAAATCAAAAAAGATTTTCGCAACTGTAGTTACTGATTTGTTTAATGTGAGGAAGTGAGTCATTGATGTCACGCAAACTTGATTTTTTTTGGTCAAGTGAGACGTGTGACACAACAAGCTGTTAGGCTGAGAACGTCCTTTGTCACAAAGACCACAGTTAAATGGCTTAATGCTGTAATTTACAATAAGAGAAAACTCCAGCTCCTAGTGTAATATTTAATTTTGACTGGTCAGCCAAAAAGGCATAATTTATCAAGAGGGATTTTGATGACGCCTATCTTTTCTAGTAAGCAGCTTCCCTAGAATTGTCAAAGAGAATAGCTGAAGATTAAAGTGAAGCAGGTGCTTTAAAAGTTTGGCGTTGCTGGTGAACCACTTGCCAGGAACAAAACTGCATTAACCTGTTAACATTAATCCACAAAGGTATTTTACCTCAAGCTTTTACAACCTGAGGTAGACATGTTTATGACATAGTCACACGACAGGTATATTTCTAACTAGTCAAAAATAAAGTGAATCAGAAGAACGCTGTAGTGAAAGGTTTCTTTTTCCTTAATTTTTTTCTATCTGCGCTCTTACCGTATTATGAGCAGTTCCACCCAGACTCGTACAAAAGCAGGTAGTGGGCCAAAAACTTCCAGAATGTATGTGTAGTGACCACCAGATTTCTTTATACTTGTTCCCAATTCAGCATAGCACAGGGCTCCTGTGAAATATTTATAACAAATAGGTACAAATGTAATATTTTATCAATCCCCCCACTCCGAGCATCAAGAATTGACGCAACAATGTTTACGTTGCCTGAGAGGTGACCAACCTCCTTTGGTCCAAATGGCAACCTTATTTCAAGACAAATAACCATCATCTAATTGCCAAAACTCACCTAATTCCTCTTCTAACTTCCTCACATTTGAGACCTAGTTTATTCTGTCTGAGCAATGTAATTTTACTTGAAATGGTAAAGACAAACTTCTAAAAAACCTATGTTCCAGAATTCTTAGTTGAAACCCTGGAAATAGAGGAAAGAGAGAAGATAGATGTTGATAATATTGACCTATCTTTAGAAGAATACAACCTCACACCAAAACAAGACAAGATCTCAAACTGACTTCATTATATTGAGAACCTTTTAATAAGTGATGGTAGATCAAAATAAATAAGATTTATCTCCCTTCACAAAAGCATGGGCTCTGGCTATGCCTTGAAAGACTTCATTTAATTTGTACAGTGTATTTTGTAAACAAAATGAATTTTGGCTTAGATAGTTTGTTTCTAGAAAAGGTTATCCCTGATATTTTTGAAGTGTATGCTCTGGGTAGTAGAATGAACATACTTTTTAGAAGGAGATGTGATAATTTATATGTATGTATGTTAGATCAATTTAACAATCAACAAGTTTTTAAATTAGGGATACAATTCACATGGCATTGGGCAAGTCATATAGCCTCCCCAAAACTCAGTTTTATTCCCTCTAAGAGGGAAATCTCAGGCCGGGTGCTGTGGCTCATGCCTGTGATCCCAGCACTTTGGGAGGCAGAGGCGAGAGATTGCTTGAGCCCAAAGATTCAAGGCCAGCCTAGCCAATTTGGTAAGACCTCATCTCTTCAATGAATAAAAAAATTAGCCAAGTGTGGTGGCATGTGCCTGTAGTTCCAGCTACGTGGAAGGCTGAGGCAGAAAGATTGCCTGAGCCCAGCAGTTCCAGCCTGAGGGGGTATGAGCGTGCCTCTGCAGCCTGGGTGACAGAGTGAGACCCAGACTCAAAAAAAAAAAAAAAAAAGTATATAAATGTGGCAATGGATACCGAAGACAGTACTAGGCCTAATACGTGACAAGCACTGCATGAAATATAACTACCCTTATTAATCTGGGCAATTAATTATGAAGAAAATAAAAATATATCTTGTTATTATGTGAAAAGTTCTATCAGTACTACTCAGTGCTCAAATGTAATCCACAATTTTTGCTGAAGCTACTTCAGAAAATAAAAAAGGTAGAAAAGTATTACTAATCAAAACTCTCCATAAATATAACTTGGAAATTTAGTGAAACAGTAGTGTCACTTATAGCTGATGACTGAACCTCAACCTTCATTCGGGAATGATTTTTAATTCAAAAACAATCAAACAAAAAACAGATTAAGATAAGAACTGCTCTTACCTTAAGAATTGTGGGAGTGTAAACTAGTACAACCTCTGTGGAAAACAATATGGCACTTCCTAAAAGATCTAGAACCGGACCTTCCTTACAATCCCGCAATTCCTCTTCTGGTAATATACCCAAAGGAACACAAATCACTCTATGAAAAAGAAACCTGCACACACACGTTTATTGCAGCATTGTTCACAATAGCAAAAACATGGAACCAACTGTGCTACCCATCAAAAGAGGACTGTATTAAAAATGTGGTGCATATACACAATGGAATATTATGCAGCCATAAAGGACAAAATTATGAACTTTGTGGCAACTTGGATGGACTTAGAATCTATAATACTGAGTGATCTATCACAGAAACAAAGAACTGAGTACTCATAAGCGGACCCTGAACAATTATCATAATACTATAAGAAGGGGATTGGCAGTAGTGGAAAACTTCCAGGGGAGGGAGAAGGGGCACACTTCATCAATAAGAGTAACTGATCTCAAACCAGAAGTGGGGACCAAAGTGAGGTCCAAACTTTACCTGTATAATGACCAGTTGTATGCCTTGCCCTGAATTGTACCCACATCTTTTAAATAAATAAATACATAAATGTCCCACAGATGCTTCTGAAGTAAATAGTTTGCAGACTAATATTGGGAACGTTGATAGATTTTATCTATTTATAACTAATTGTAACTAGTTGGAACTTACCCTCTTTGGGGAAATAGTCGCCAAGTTGGTAGGCTGTTCAGAAAATATTCCAATATAAAATGTTATTAGAAAGAGTCCTTGCTGAAACTTCAGAATGGTTGCCCTAGGTTTAAATCGAGTCCTAGGGAAATGATTTTTATTTAAAGGTCTCAAGTACTGTAACCATTTTGCCCAGATAAAAAGTTCAAGACAAGATGTAAAATCCAGGTATTGACCCTGGCTTAAAAAGAAAAAAAAAATTGTAAACCAAATATACAGATTCTTTACAGTTGGTCCCAAATGTTCTCGAGTTTTAAGAAAAATAAATTCTTTTTCTTTTTCCTTTTTTTTTTTTTTGAGTTGGGGTGCATTGGCACGCTCATGGCTACTGCAGCCTCTACCTGCTGGGCTCAAGCGATCCTTCTGCCTCAGCCTTCCAAGTAGCTGGAACTATAGGAGCGCACCACCACCCTAACAATTTTTTTTTTTTTTTAATCTTATTGCTCAGGCTGGTCTCGAACCCCTGGGCTCAAGTAATCCTCTCGCCTCGGCCTCCCAAAGTGCTGGGATTACAGGCTTGAGCCACTGTGCCTGGCCAAATTCTTTTTGTTATATTTTGCTTTACTTGTTAGGGCGGTCAAAAGCTCCTAGTAACTTAAGTGACAAAGGCAATGCAAATATGGATAAGTAGATTAACACAAGCACACACTTCCTACAATTAGTAATCAAAGAATACCAACTCAAGTCTCAGCTGTTCTCCTTCTCTTTTTTAGCTTCTGCTAAAGATGATATACTTATGCAAAAGCATACTTTCATAGTACAAGTCAACACCACTTTAACTAGTTCTGTACTCAGAGTAACCTATTTTACTACCTCTGAATAACCTTTTCTTGTATACAAAGAATTGAATCACCATGGGAACTAAATGCACGTAAGCATGCACAGTCCAGGAAACAGAGTGTGGTTTTTCTGATTAGATGTTGATTTATTCTGAACACATCAAGCGCTATAGAAAGATTTAAAGGCTGAGGGTGCACAAAGTCATTTAAGATGATCAAGAATTAGGGTTATCATTGCTTATCTATAAATGCATATTACAGAACTCTATCAAAGTTTTTCATAACTATATCACTCAAAAGCGTTCTATATGGCTAGGGAATAGTACTGAGAAAATAATGACACACAATTGTCACTAAATATTTTATAAAGCACAAATTAGTCACATGAATAATACCACAAACCCTTTCTAAAAAACACAAAAATAATCCCTTTATAGCTCATGCTATACTATGACTTTGTTTTAACAAGTTGTATCTAAAAATAACTTCTACCTAAAAATAGAAATGTGAGTTCTTTAGCTGAATGCTCAAACCAATGAAATAAAGCATCACAAGGCTTGAGGAGAAAGAATGAATGGATTGGTACACATAGGACAAGAGTTAGTACTTAAAGAGTTAGCAACTATAAAATATAGTATCTTCTGGAATCAAAGTACACTATTTTCCAGAAAAGAGTAAATATATTTCAGACATTCACTTCATAGCCTAAATCAAATTTACTTTTTAATTGACAATTCACTGGTTTTTATCATCTTTACAATGATCTCAGGTAGCTTTCTAGTCTTTTACCCCCCACTTAAGAGGGAGCATTTCTTATCTCTTTATTATGAATTCCTGAGTTAATAAAAGGGACATACATTTTGAAGAAAAGTTAATAATCATGCTTCTACCACTTTTCTTCAGATTCACCCAATGTACAGGTGGGCCAATTATCTGTATCCCTGGTGACCAAGGGAAATACAGATGAAGAAAACAGATCCGGGCAGGCACAGCCAACTAACACCCAGCTGAAGTTTTCAAATGTTTATAGCAGAAGTTTATAGGTATTGAGAAGAGAGGAAAGGCTTTAAAAAATGTGAAATATGCTCAAGACACTGCAATATTCCCACTCATGATAGGGACTGAGTTGTGTGCCATCACACATCTTCCCATGTCAAGAACTTGCGATGAGCACATGAACTTAAAAAATAAAAATAAAAAATAAAAAACTGCCGTTTATTTTGCTAAAGTCAGGCTTCTGCTGAACCCTCAGTTCTGTGCCTAAATAGGCCACATCGGGTTGTTCTTCACAGGTGTTGCATTCAGGATGCCACCTGCCAGAATACCCCAAACATTCATAACTTTGATGACCCGTTAAAATACACACCAGCTTTCTGAACTGGAAGCTGGTGTGTATTTTACCGGGTCATCAAAGTTACCCTTTGCTCTCTTCACTGCAGGGAAAAGCATGAAAACAGTCTGTCTCAGTCAGGAAAAGAAAGTACAGCCTACAGGAAGCAATTGGAAGGGATTCAGGATCCACCTGACAATGAACAGTGTGTCTAGAGAGTTCACGTACCCAAATGAAAATTTAAAAATTCAGTGTGGCCTCTACCATTCATTGACTCCTCAGAAATCACTCTCTGCTTCCCAGAGATCAAACTTCCCAGCCTCAGAGCCACACCCCACCCCACCCCCAGAGAAAAAGGTACACTCACCAAACAGTGACAGGATCCCACAGGCCGTCCAGATAGTCAGAGACATGCCCACGCTGCCCGTGTTCTGGAGCACGCCCTTGGGAGAAATGAAAATTCCTGCTCCAATGATGGTGCCAATGATGATGGAGATCCCTCTCAGTAAAGTGATTTTCTTCTTCAGGGCCACTTTGTCCTGCCCAGGGGGCTCTTTGCTGCCCACGGAAGGCAGCCTCCTGTGAACACTTCCCTGCAGGTAACCTCCTTTGGAGATGGTGGACACCACAGGTTTTCTGACCATAGTAGTGACACACAGGGGAAAAGTCACACAGAAGGAAAGAAAACAAAACTTTCAACTTGGGTGCCTCTTGGAGTGACTGATCGGTGTCTTCCTCTTTGCTTTCAGTCTCTTTCAGTGCTATTGTGTTCACAGGAAAAAACTCAGGGGTGTGTTTGATCCTTCCCGGCTATCTAATTACTACTGAGAACACCTGTGCGTTCAAGGTGCTCTCGGTCCCCACCTCCTCGCTCTGCCACCGAGGCTGCCGCCGCCGCTGAGCTGCCGCCCTATCATTACAAACCAGCTCAGCTTCCTCATGGGCTTGTATTTAAGCTCCTGCCTGTCACACCAACTTACTACAGCTAAATGATGATGCAAATTCTCCAGGTTTGCATCAGCCACATGAGAAAGCTCAGCATTACTCAGCCTTTTTTTTCTTCTTCTTCTTCTTTTTTTTTTAACAGTAGCAGCGTGTTGCCCAACTGACCTAAGCTTTTCGGAGAACAAAGCACACACTTTCAAGAGCTCTCAGCCAATCCAGAAGTTGTAAATTCAGAACAGACCTTCCCAGAGATTGAAAGCAACTCTTAGTGAGGGACAAAAAGCTCTTCAAGCGAAAAGAAAATAAGAAATGAAACAGGAAATGGTAACTTCATTTGAAGGAGTTGCTTTTTTGCTTTAGCTCGTGTGTGAAAAACATTTTACATGCAACTGTTCTGTGAACAGAATGGACCCCGAAGCTGCATGGTTGATAAGAGCAAAATTTAGACTCCGTAATCTGTAGGATACTTTTTTTTTAAATTTTGAGTTTCTTAGCAGCACAGCCAAATCTAATGTTTACAAAGCTAAAAAGATCCCCTCTCTCTACGCACATAACTGTGAGCTTTTCTCAACATTTAAAGATAAAATTGTTTCTTACTGCCCATGATAAACCAACATTTAAAATCACCACCTGAGTGTGACAAGTTTAGAAATCACAGTGACTCCAGAAAATAATCCTTTTCTGATTCTCATCAGCACTAGGTGATTTTCTGAACTAAGAAATATTCTGAATTCACGTGCTTGCTGTTACACTGAAATACTAAAAAAATCCTCAGCTCAAAAGTGAACAATAATTACAATTATGGAAAAAATATGCATATAGCAAAAGCCTGATAGGAAAGTACAGAATAATAGTTACAGAAGATAATGGTATTATGTATGATTTTTTTTTCTAAATTGCATAAACTGCCCTTATATTATTGAAAGGTGGTACCTATAGAAACCTAGAATAAACTTAGTTTATTCTTAGTTTAGTCTTTTTACCTCAGCATAACCATTAGAAAGCATTCAGACATTCTACTGCAGAACGAGCAGCAGCCTATCCCATCCCCCCTAGGCAAATCTCCCTCAGATGCAAGACCAAGACAGCCCCACCATTCATGTTTTAGCATAATAATCTCTAGTAAACTTTTAGGTTCCTTGTCAAGACCAAAGATCAAAGGTCACCCTTTGACTGGCCAAAGTCATAAAAGTAATAATAAGGCCATCCCACCTTTGGTGAAGGAGTTTGTGAATTGCAAATGTTTAACAAGTCTCTTGCAAGAACACACTCCCCCACCCAACCTAATCTGCCCTTTGTGAGCTATGTGACACGAATAAACCCCACCATGGCAGCAATCATATGACTGACCCACCCATCTGCGTGCTGTCTACCACCTGACGTCAGTACCTGGGCTTGCCTGCCCCTTTGTGATGACATGGAGCAGACCACCACCCAATTACCTTAATGGTCTTCCCCCATCCAGGGGAATGGTTAAAAGGACTCAACCACACGCAACCAGCAGCCATTGCCTTGCTAGACTCTGGTGTGCCATGTGCTCTTTGAGCTATGGCTGTCACCATGCTTCCTGGCTTTGGCCCCCTCCCTCACCTCGGGGCGGTGAATCTTCTTTCTTCTCTTTCTCTGTCTAATTTACTTTTAAATAAACTTTTCTTTCTTATCCTCTTTGTGTGTTGCAATTCTTTGCAATTACTGGATCTCTGGGTTGCCAGCGTGTACCTCTGGCTTGCCAGCTCCAGCGGTGCTGCACCTTTTCTCCCTCTCCATCCGTTTTCCCTCACCCTATCTGAACCCTAACAATTATTATTATAAGATCAAAATGCATTCAATAGCTAAGCTAATATTATCATATTTACTCTGAAACAGTCACAAAGGCAAAACGTTTTTAAGCCCTTCTAGCTTTCTCACCAAGTGTCTAAAAACCAAATACCCAAAGAAAAGAAATTCTAGATACCATTTTTGGCTATGCTTATATGTGGTTTTGGATTCAGTGAGAAGAATTGGATGTTATCATCACCCTGAAGCTACATTTACACACACCATTAAATATGCTTATGAATCTCTGAATAAAAACAACAAACAAAAAACCTGTGTGTGAGAGGTGAGAGTCAGGAGCAGGGTAAGAAGAAGGGGCCCAGGGGTGGTGAGGATGATCCAAGAAAGAAACAGCCATTAGAAAAGTAGCACAGAAAAGGGCAGAACCACTTTCCCGGGGGTTGGCACCTGAGAAAATGATACCGCATCAACACGTTACCATTCAAATAACTGAGGCTACACCGTTTCCTTTTCAAATTATCTGTCTAAATTCTGTATCATTGGCTCTGCATATCCCAAGTCAATGATGTTATAAAGCCAGCTTTTTCTCAGCTGTTACGTCTTCCAAAAAATAAAAATGGGTCGTTTTCTTTATTCAGTGTTGCCAAAACTCCTAAAGAAGGGAATTAAAGAAAAATCTTCCTCTTCCCAGTTCTCCTCCTCCTCCTATGTGTCCTTCCACTCACATAATTCTCCTGATTAATGTACCTAAGCAGAAGAGGAGAGGCTTTTGTTTCCCAACAAGAGGAACATATTAGTTCTGAAGAAATATGAGTTAAAAGTAGGACACTAGGAATCTCACGGAACAACTTTCTGTCTCTAATTAACACAGTGTCACAGTTCTATTTAAACTTTTGTTATAAATGACTGAAATAATAAGTTGAGCCCGGGACCTGACTCAGATTGGGAGTTAGATGAATTCTAAAGGAGGGAACATTTCTTTCAATGGTAAATAACATTCTCCTCCTTCACAGTATTTTTTTTAATTGTGAAGAAAAATAGCTGATGTTAGACTAATAGCTAAAGGATTGCACTGTTACGTAAGAGTCACTCTCAGATTTTCTGCAAAGCTGCACATAGCTACCAAAGACACCAGTGTACCTCTTCTAATCACCCAGAAATTTGTAGAAAGTGAAGATTATAAAGAAGATTTTGAATACCTTCAATATCGACAAACTCTATAATCACCAATTCTAATTTAAAATTTAGAACTGGTTAATTTCAATATTAACAAACTCTTATAGTCTCCAACTCTAATATTGAACACCTTCAATATTAGCAAACTCTTATAATCACCAAACTCTTATAATCACCAGTTCTAAACCTGTGAACTAAGAGTTTGGATGATCTTTAGATATGTGTGTATCATATAAATAAGTCCAAAGCAAATTAATTTTTATTCTTTCTCTTGCCTTAGGCTTTATTTCAAGCATTCCTGTCAAATTAAGAGACTATTCTAGTGCTATTCCCAAATATGTATTTAGTGCTTACTGTGCGCAAGAAATAGTCCCAGGTCCTTAGAAACATCTCATGGAAGAAACAGACGTACTATACGGTGGTAGCTACCATTTTCTGATAACAATTTCTGTCCCATGATTATAAATATGGGCATATAATCCAGGCCTGGTCAAATCAGAATGTGACTCAAACTGGAATATTTCTAAACAGAGTTAGAATGATCTTTTCTCATCTGTTGCAGGTTGTAAAGATGTGATTGCAGAAAAATGGTGGCCATGTCCCCTTTCGTGTTGTGAAAATCCTCACGGGATAAGAGAAATATGAAAAGATGAGAGATAATCAAAAAGTCCTATTAGTGTTATCAAATCCCACTTTGGTTCCTAAGGGACCCAGATTGTCTGTTGGTCCTGAAGATAGTGCTTTGATTATAGGAGCTACCTTATTTCCTTGCTAGGTATACTACCTAATACTACACACAAAAGTCAGTTACTTGTGGATGGCAGAGCTAAATGTCAATGACACATTGTTAAGCTTCTAGAACTTGGTAGTCATTATTAGCTTCATGTGGTTATTAGCTCTTGAAATGTGGCTAGAATTTGAAGACTTAGTTTTTAAAAAAAAGTGCTTAATCATTTTTACTATTCACATTTATTTTTCCTGTTTTATTTTATTTATTGTATTTGTTTATTTTTGAGTCGAAGTCTCAATCACTCAGGTTGGAGTGCAGTAGCACAATCATGACCCACTGCAGCCTTGACATCCTGGGCTCAAGTAATCCTTCTGCCTCAGCCTCCTGAGTAGCTGGGACTACAGGTGCATGCCACCGTGCCAAAATAATTTTTTTTCATTTTTTTGTAGAATTGTGGTCTTGCTATGTTACCCAAGCTAGTCTTGAACTCCTGAGCTCAAGCAATCCTTCCGCCTTGGCCTCCCAAAGTGCTTGGATTACAGACATGAGACACTGTGCTCAGTGGTTTCTTTAAAAAATGTGGCTACTAAAAATTAAAATTACATCTGTAGTTCAAATTTGTGGGTTATATTATATTTCTAATGGACGTGCTGATTTAAAAGAAAACACAGAATATGTTTCTGAACTTGATGTAAGCAGGAATTTCTTTTTTTTTTTTTTAAGTTGGAGTCTCACGCTTGTCACCCAGGCTGGAGTGCAATGGCACACTTACAGCCACCGCAGCCTTGACCTGCTGGGTTTAGGCAATCCTTCTGCCTCAGCTTTCCAAGTAGCTGGAACTAGGGATTTCTTAAAAGGGACATACAAAGCCCTAAAGTAAAAAAAAGAAAGCTACAAGGGAATGCAACAAATTTAAGAATTAATAGATTATAAACGTGAATCATAAAATGGGAAAAAGATATTTTCAAATAGCAAAGGTTTTATATCTATAATAAGTAATACATTTTTTAAGTCAATAGGAAAAAAGACAACTCAATAGAAAGTGGCCATGAAATTTTAACAGACACTTAATAAAATGGCCAACTCATTTGTGAAAATCTACTCAACGGTATTAGTCATCAGGACAATTAAAACTAAAGCCTCAGTGGGATATAAACTCCCACCGAGTGTGGCTCACATAAGACAGACTAGCAAGACCAGGAGTGGTGACAATTAGAGTGACTGGAACGCTTCCATGCTGCTGGTGGAAGCATAAATTGATGCATTCACTATAAAAAGCTGTCTGGCCGTAACTACTGAAGTTAAACAGACATATACTCTTTGACCAAGAAATCCTACTCCTGGGAATATGCCCTATAAAA